ATACATTGGTGATGTCCATTTCACTCCATGAATTTATGGAAACCTAACACTAACCTTAAATGGGTTTTCCCGCCAATGGGATTTTCACATGTATTTCACCTGGAAATGACGATAAGGCAGTCTAAAAAGAAGTGTATGCTCCTAACTATTGCCATGCACTCCAAATCTATTGGTGATGTCCATTTCACTCTACGAATTTAGGGAAACCTAACCCTAACCCTAAGTGGGTTTTCGCGCCAATGGTATTTTCCCATGTATTTCACCTGGAAATGTAGATAAGGCAGGCTAAAAAGAAATGGACGCTCCTAACCATTGCCAGGCGCTCCAAATCCATTGGTGATGTCCATTTTGCTCTACGAATTTAGGGAAACGTAACCCTAACCCTAAGTGAGTTTTCGCGCCATTAGGATTTTCACATGTATTTCACCTGGAAATGTAGATAAGGCAGGCTAAAAAGAAAAGCACGCTCCTAACCATTGCCAGGTGCTCCAAATCCATTGGTGATTTCCATTTCGCTCTACGAATCTCTGGAGACTTAACCCTAACCCTAAGTGGGTTTTCCCGCCAATGGGATTTTCACATGTATTTCACCTGGAAATGAAGATAAGGCAGGCAAAAAAGATATAACCCATTCCTAACCATTGCCATGCGCTCCGAATCCATTCATGATGTCCATTTCACTCTATGAGTTTAGGTTTTCCCACGAATGGAATTTTCCTTTGTATTTCAACAGAAGATATAGAGAAGGCAGGCTAAAAAGAAAATCACGCTCCTAACAATTGCCATGCACTCATAATCGATTGATGCCCATTTTGCTCTACGAATTTAGGGAAACCTAACCCTAACCCTAAGTGGGTTTTCGCGCCAATGGAATTTTCACATCTATTTCACCTGGAAATGAAGATAAGGCAGGCTAAAAAGAAATGTACGCTCCTATCTATTGCCATGCACTCCAAGTCCATTGGTGATGTCCATTTCGCTCTATGAATTTAGCGAAACCTAACCCTAACCCTAAGTGAGTTTTCGCGCCATTAGGATTTTCACATGTATTTCACCTGGAAATGTAGGTAATGCAGGCTAAAAAGAAAAGCACGCTCCTAACCATTTCCAGGTGCTCCAAATCCATTGCTGATGTCCATTTCGCTCTTCGAATCTCTGGAGACTTAACCCTAACCCTAAGTGGGTTTTCCCGCCAATGGGATTTTCACATGTATTTCACTTGGAAATGAAGATAAGGCAGTCTAAAAAGAAGTGTACGCTCCTAACTATTGCCATGCACTCTAAGTCCATTGGTGATGTCCACTTCACTCTACGAATTTAGGAAAACCTAACCCTAACCCTGAGTGGGTTTTCGCACCAATGGAATTTTTCGATGTATTTCACCTGGAAATGTAGATAAGGCAGGCTAAAAAGAAATGTACACTCCTACCTATTGCCATGCGCTCCAAATCCATTGGTGATGTCCATTTCGCTCTGTGAATTTAGGGAAACCTAACTCTAACCCTAAGTGAGTTTTCGCGCCATTAGGATTTTCACATGTATTTCACCTGGAAATGTAAATAAGGCAGGCTAAAAAGAAAAGCATGCTCCTAACCCTTGCCAGCTGCTCCAAATCCATTGGTGATGTCCATTTCGCTCTACGAATCTCTGGAGACTTAACCCTAACCCTAAGTGGGTTTTCCTGCCAATGAGATTTTCACATGTATTTCACCTGGAAATGAAGATAAGGCAGGCGAAAAAGAAATAACCCACTCCTAACCATTGCCATGCGCTCCGAATCCATTGGTGATGTCCATTTCACTCTACGAATTTAGGGAAATCTAACCCTAACTCTATGTAGGTTTTCGCGCAAATGGGATTTTCCTATGTATTTCACCTGGAAATGTAGATAAGACAGGTTAAAAAGAAAAGCACACTTCTAAACATTACCATTCGCTCCTAATCCATTGGTGATGTCAATTTTGCAATACGAATTTAGGGAAACCTAACCCTAACTCTAAGTCGTTTTCCAGCGAATGGGTTTTTGACATGTATTTCATCTGGAAATGTAGATAAAGCAGGCTAAAAAGAAATGCACACTCCTAACTATTTCCATGCACTCCGAATCCATTGGTGATGTCCATGTCGCTCTTTGAATTTAGGGAAACCTAACCCTAACCCTAAGTGGATTTTCCCGCCATTAGGATTTTCCCATGTATTTCACCTGGAAATGTAGATAAGATAGGCTAAAAAGAAATGCACGTTCCTAACCATTGCCATGCTCTCCCAATCCATTGGTGATGTCCGTTTCGCTAACCCGACTTAGGGTTAGGGTTAGCTTTCCATAAATTCGTAGAGCAAAATGGATATCACTAATGGATTCTGAGCTTATGGCAATGGTTAGGAGCATGCATTACTTTTTAGCCTGCCTTATCTGCCACTTAGGGTTAGGGTTAAGTTTGCGTAAATTCGTAGAGCGAAACGGACATCACCAATGGATTTGGGACACCTGGCAATGGTTAGGAGTGTACATTTCTTTTTTCCCTGTCTTATCTATATTTCCAGGGGAAATACACGTAAAAATACCATTGGCGGGAAAACCCACTTAGGGTTAGGGTAATGGTTTGCGTAAATTCATAGAGCGAAATGAATATCACCAATGGATTTGGGGCGCCTGGCAATGGTTAGGAGCATGCATTTTTTTTAGCCTGCCTTATCTATGTTTCCAGTTGAAATACATGGGAAAATCCCATTGGCGGGAAAACCCACTTAGGGTTAGGGTTAGGTTTCTCTAAATTTGTAGAGTGAAATGGACATCACCAATGGATTCGGAGTGCATGGAGCCTGCATTTCTTTTTTGCCTGCTTTATCTACATTTCCAGGTGAAATCCACGGAAAAATTCGGTTGGTGGGAAAAGCAATTTAGGGTTAGGATTGAGGCTCCAGAGATTCTTAGAGTGAAATGGACATCACCAATGGATTCAGAGCGCACGGCAATGGTTAGGAGTGTGCTTTTCTTTTTACCCTGCCGTTTCTACATTTCCAGGTGAAATACATGGGAAAATCCCATTGGCGGGAAAACCCACTTAGGGTTAGGTTTCGCTAAATTTGTAGAGCGAAATGGACGTCACCAATGGATTTGAAGTGCATGGCAATGGTTAGGAGTGTGCATTTCTTTTTAGCCTGCCTTATCTACATTTCCTAGTGAAATACATGGGAAAATCCCTTTGGTGGGAAAACGCACTTAGGGTTAGGGTTAGGTTTCCTTAAATTTGTAGAGCGAAATGGACATCACCAATGGATTCGGAGCGCATGGCAATAGTTAGGACCATGCATTTCTTTTTACCCTTTTGGCAGGAAAATCCATTTATTGTTAGGGTTACCTGTCCTTGAATTCATAGAGTGAAATGGACACCACCAATGGATTTTGAATGCATGAATATGTATATGTGTGTGCTGAGTTTTTGAACTTGTCTTATCTACATTTCTTGGTAAAATACATGGATGAACTCTCCTATTTTCAGTTTTTTGGAAAAACTTCGTCTTTACTTCTTAATGAGAATATCCTGTCTCTTTTTGTCTCATTATTTTTATTCCTATTTTTAAAATGTGATACTTTAGGCCAGCTGATACATATCCTAGTCATCTTTGCTATATTCAACAAAGAATGTCTGAAAGGTGAATTAAAAATAAATTCTGTTCTATAGAACTTCCATAGAAACAATCAGTCCTCTGTGACATAACAAACCCAATTATCAGCTCAGACAATTTTGCTAAAGTCAACAGGTGAGTGCAGTAAATTAACATCTATATAGACCTTGGAGATAATTGAGACTTGAGTAGTTCTAGCTTTCAGCCTGTATACAACCTCTAGCTTTATGCTTTGCTCTATATTTATTCCAGCCGACTCCTGACTTATAGCTTTGAATATCCTTTTGGACAGGTGAACGCTGATCTAATTGTATGCCCATAATCCTTTTATTGATTCATTATCTGAATCAATAAAAGTTACCACTGGTATTCTTTTTTTCCCTTTCTTCTAATATATTGGCACTGACCTTTTATTTAAAAAAAATAGGTGGAAAGAAGACAAAACTGAATATAGTACATGGAATTTAATCTACCTATAATTTAGAAGCCAGAAATAGATTTGTAGTGTTGAAATAGATTTGTAGTGTTGTTTGCTTGTTATTTTCAAATATGGGAGTTGAAGTCCATGAGTCATAAAAGAGCCGAGGTTGCCTACCCCTGACCTAGATGTTAAATAAATCTACTAGCAGAAGATACAGAAGCATTCCCCATAAGTATGTAAGGGAAGGATTGGATAGATGGAAAAACATGCCAAATTCAGTCTGAACATCTGGTTGACTATGCAACAAACCATAATAATACATTCATATGCTACCCAACTCCCAATGATTCTGAGCAGTTAATAATAATAAATAAATAAATAATGATATAATGGCTGGAAGCATTTATGTGCACCATTACACTTTATGTTCCTATAGAAAATTCTTTAAAAATTTACAAGTTAAAGCTACAATTAAATATCAAATCAACACACTATAAAAATTAATAGCCATGAAATGAATACAAAGCTACCTCCTAGTCTCCAAATAGTTTGGAACAGGGGAAAGAGAAATTATTTAACATATTGGTGAGATAAAAATATAAGAAACCATTTGCTTTTAAACAGACATGACCGGGATACCAGTTCCACACTGGTAGAGAAGAATGGCTTCATCACATCAAAATAGAACAATGTAACTAGTTCATAAAGCAATTTAGCTTTAACTTGAAAAATAGATTGAAAATGATTTGATGCAGAAAAAATGCTTTGGAGATGTTACTAGTATTACTGGCGTACTAAATATTAAATTGGTTTAAATAATTAGTAGCAACTTGTAAAGTATACCAGATGTGAGCTATTGGAAAGTAAAAACTATTTTTATTTAAAACAAGTAAACTGGGTACACATACATATATAACATTTCAGCTGGATATTTAGCATAAATGACATGTTATTCTCCATGGTCCCACTTGATTCCATCTAGATAAATTTCTCCAGGAGGCCTCTTGGGTGCACATTTCCATAGATACCAGAGTCCTGCTAACATGAGATGAAACAGAAGAACCAGGCCTAAGAAGATGAAGCAGAAAAGGCTGTCCAAAGTGCTAGAAATAGGTTTGGGATGTGGTGATTCTTTATCGGTTCCACAGTCTGTTGGTCAAAAGAGAAAAAGGTACCAGGTGAATTTGTGGTTGGCCAAGTCAAAATCAAAGAAGCAGAATTTGAAATCCAGTCAAAAATTACTCAAAGTATTTTGAATTATCATGAGAGAATATACCATTGATGAACAGGATTAAAACACATGTTACATATATTTCATTACACTGTATGTCATTTCTAATATTTAGATCTGAAAGCTAAGACATTTGGGTCCGATGAGCAAAAATAAAAGAATAGTGAGTTTTGTAAAATTCTTGGTGTAGGAATTATCCACTTGGTGAGATTTCTTTTGTTTGCTGTTTCTTGTTAGGGTGACTCTCCCACTTATTTTGAAGTTTAAGGAATACAGTATTCTGGCTGGGAACAAGCTGCTATAGTCACTATCTTTACATTTACTGATGCTCCCTGCCTTGTATCATCATAGCGAACTCTGAGGAAAAGGAATGGACTATCTACCTCTATTGCTGCCCTATTATTCCAACCACAGTTTCATGGCTTAATTTTAAAGCACCAAATATTAAAACAATTGATTCTTAGTTTAAATAATTAAAATAGCCTTAAAAAGCTTGGTAACTTTCAGGTTTTAAAAGTCTTTTGATGGTAGACTAATCTCCTATGGGTTTTCATTACAGCCAAGATTTGTGTCATTATGCTAAAGCTTCCTCATCACCTTATTTATGAAATGTTACAGTTTTTTTCCCTTGTATATTGTATTTACTTGCCTTTTGTCTCAGGATCCTTTGCCTCTTCTAACTGGAAGTTTGATGCTGTAGAAGGTGCCTTTTTTCTTGCTTTAAATCCATAATTCAAACAAAGATTTGCATTACCAGCGGCCAGCTTCTGCACTAAGATAGTTTCAGTTGTGCTAAGGAATAGTAATATGAGAAGGCCAGTGTAGTAATAACCTAAGACATTATTGGAAGAAGGAAGAAGTTAAAGGCATTATTGATGGGTCCTCTCAGCCTTTGCTTTATGTTACTGAGGGAAGTGTGTGCTGAAATTAGGTTAGTATCAATATATAAATTCAGACTAGGACGAATGTTAGGGTTAAGGTAAGGGTTCCTTGAGATCTCTACTACAGTTAAGTGTGGTGAACAGTAAGAGTTATTTATTTATGAAATTTGTTTGCCATTCATCTCTCTGCAAGGTGACTCTGGACAACTTACAACATCAAAATAAAACCATAAATATCTATATACAAATGTCTATAATCACGGTAAAATCATAATAAAATACAAATTATAAGTAAAATTAAAGAATGGGTGAGGAAAGAAGCAGAATGTATAGGGGGAGGAGGTAGGAATGGTATTAGTTGATCAACCACCTCCAGTGTGATACTTCCCCATTGGGGCCCCAATCCAATTGGCAGGGCGAGGTCTTCAGGCTTGCAGAAGATCAGGAGGGTGGGAGACAATCTCACTTCAGAGGGCAAGATGTTCCAAAGGGCCAGGACCGCAGCAGAGAAAGTTCTTCTCCTGGACCCCACCAGTTGGAATTCTTTGAGTGACAGGATCCGCAGCATGGGGATGTGTGGGGCAGGCACTTGACACTCCATGCACCCATGGCCATTTAGTCTTCCAAGGGTTCAACTGAAGCCTGTTGTCCCCAATCCAGGCTCCCACAGCCTTCAGGCACTGTGAGAGGGCAAACGACAGCAACATTTGGCTCACCAGGGATGGATATAAAAGTTGAATATCATCTGCATACTGATGACACCTCAACCCATGGGGATAGATGATGTCACCCAGCAGCTTCATGTAGATGTTAAAAAGGAGTGGAAAGAGTACCAAGCCCTGTGGCACACCACAGAAAAACGGTCATGGGCTGGGTCTCTCGCTCCCTTTTAACACCAATTGGGACCGGCCTTGGATAAAAGAGTCGCAACAGCACAGACTGTGCAGCCCAGCCTCAGACCCCATAGTGGGCCAAAAGGATATCATGGTGAACAGTATCGAAGGCTGCTGGGAGGTCAAGGAGAGCAAGGATGATTGCACTGCTTGCATTCTGCTATTGCCAGAAATCTTCAACAAGTGCGAGCAATGCCATTTCCATCCCATAACCGGGCCTGAATCCTGACTGAAAGGGATCCAGATAATCCATTTCATCCAGGCCCTCCTGAAGCTGCCAAACAACCACCTTTTTATCACCTTCCCTAAAAAGATTGTTGCTGTTATCATTAATCTTATCTTTAGATGAATATATATTCTGGATGTTATTTTAATCTAATTAGATAAAGTGGACAAAATTTTCCATTTGACATATTTGGGTGGATGGTTTTGGCTTGTTACTTGACATCTTTTTTGCTCGTACAACTTACTGAGCAGAGGATTACAGGAAGATGATTCTGGTAGGGAACCAATGAAAGAAGAATAGAAGACTAGATATGCCAGAAGCAAAGTGATCATGTATGACAATCTGTCTTGGAGACAGATGAAGAAACCACAGAGATCCGCTATCTCAACTGCAAGGCTTGGCAACACTGAGGAAAGGAGGACTCGTATTCCTGTATTTTTTAGATTTATCTGAAAAAGAAGCCAGACGTCAGGGTAAAAGGAAGAAATAATTCAAGTTACACCAAAAATTGGGCATTGATAAAGCACAGTGCTAAGCCTAAATGTGCTTTGTTTGCTTTGGTTAATCACAGCGTGCGAATTCAGCCACTATGGTTATAAATCATGCATTATGGTTTTGTTTGAAATGAGCCCACCCAACTATAGTGTTTCTATTTTTATGAGGGTGGGAGGGAGGGAGACTCCCAAGAAATATTCCCATTGTTATTATCCATTTCAAAGGCAGATAGAATCTCAGCTAGAACAGTGGTTCTCAACCTTTTTAATGCCGCGACCCCCAACCGGTTGTAAGTCGAGGACTACTCAACCGGTTATAAGTCGAGGACTACTCAACTGGTGCAGCACCGTTTGCAGAATGGGACTTTTGGCGGGCTCAGCAGGGCAGAGACAGCCTGGACAATTCCTATTGGCTTTTGAAAGCCAATAGAATTAGACTCTATTCAAGAGAGTCTATTCTATTGGCTTTCAAAAGCCAATCGAATAAAAGGGAGTAGCACAGCTAAGGAAAAGGGGAAAAAATGGCGGACTGCGTTGTTTGGCGACCCCCGTGAAATGGTCGTTTGACCCCAAATGGGGTCCCGACCCACAGGTTGAGAACCACTGAGCTAGAAGAAAAGACTCTAACTGAGATGCCACCAAGGTACTTTTAAAAAATTACAATGCAAGCGATATTCTTACCATGACCACAAAATAAGGCTGTGCCATATTTCTTTGGCTTGTAATGTTCACATTTGTGATGAGATATTCACGATTTAAATTCAGAATTTCATTTGCAATGGAGGTGCTGAATTCCAGCTCAGTGACTTGAAAGAATAATTTAAAAGAATTTGAAGAAATCACAATCTTATTCATCGTAAGTAAAAAGCTGATATAGTATCTACTAAGTCAGTGGTCTGCAACCTTGACAACTTTAAGACTTGTAGACTTCAGCTCCCAGAATCCCTCAGCCAGCATATGCTGGCTGAGGAATTCTGGGAACTGAAGTCCACAAATCTTAAAGTTGTCAAGGTTGCAGACCCCTGTACTAAGTCAAACTAAATGTATGAGTCAACCATATTAGAAGCCATCTGGGAAAAGAAATGCCATAGATGAGAAAAGGCCCCAGTGAAGTTAGAATAAGTGGTTATCTTTTAGAGGAGAAGAGTTACTACTACTAGATACTTAGACTTGGAATTACTACAGCTTAGCAAACAAAGTCTGGTGCCAACTTCTTTCTTAAAAGTTCTCTCTAATGCCTTTTTTTGTCTGGTTTTTTTTCTTTATTTCATTATATAGATGAGCTGAGCAAGTTCCAAATATTATAGGTGGAACAATTCAACTCTTTCTAGCTATCTTCTTGCCTGAATACAGGTAGTCCTCAACTTACAACCACAATTGAGCCCAGAATTTATGTTGCTAAGTGAAAAATTTGTTAAGTGAGTTTCAGCCCATTTTACAACTTTTCTTGCCACATTTGTTAAGTGAATCACTCCAGTTGTTAAATTAGTAGCACAGTTGTTAAGGGAATCTGGCTTCGCCGTTGACTTTGTTTATCAGAAAGTCACAAAAGGGGATCACAAGACCCTGGGACACTGCAGCCATTATAGATATGAATCTGTTGACAAGCATAAATATGAATCATAAATATGAATCGGTTGAATTTTGATCATGTGATCCTAGAGGTGCTGGAAGTGGTCATAAGTGTGAAAAAAGGTCATAAGTCACTTTTTTCAGTGCCATTGTAACTTCAAACAATTGCTAAACAAACTGTTGTAAGTCGAGGACTACCTGTATAAACCTTGTGCTCAATATCCTGTCAGTGGAGATTGTGCATAAACAGATAATATGAACTGGACGTTTTGTACAGCAGCTCCATGTAATGATGTTGACAGTGTGGCTAAGGGGACAATGTCAGATGGTTTTCATTCACTGGCTTACATATTCAGATTTTTGCATAAATAAATATTACTTTAACGTTGCTTATTAAACTTATACACTTTAATGTGGAAACTGTGCAAATTGACTGATGAATGTTTATCATCCCCTGTTTTTATACTCAGTGGCAACTGGCAATATTAAGCAGGTTATATCATGAATAATCCTATCAATGTTATCCATAGGGGTACATTGTGCTTTCATAACCAGTGATATCACATTCACCTAAATCAACAACCATCATCCCTAAAAGCTTTAATTACAACGATGTGCAGTGCCGGCAGAAATAAAACATGCAGTCTGCAAAGGACCTGGCTAAATATATCCAAAATTAATTTAAGGAGAGACCATTCGACTTGAGGTTTGAATAGAATTCTGTACAGTGCATGACAACCAATTTCCTTATGTTATTTATGTATGAAGACTTTTGCCTACCTTTGCTGTTCAGTGAGAAAAAGCTCAAAAAGCACTGGCTGCTATCTAATGGGTAATAGAAGAGGTCAAAGTTGCAGTTGCTGTCAATGCGAAGAGCAAGTTGAAATTCTGTTTTCCCATCACTGTGAAGTACCACATTAGGGGATTCCACTCTCCATGTTACATCAAACCTTTGATTAAAGAAACATGACAGCAGAAAAAGCTAAGGTTGCTTTTCACAATTTTGTGGTCCTCTAAAATATTAAAAAACATTTTTTCACTTTCAAATGAGAAAATGTGCACTTATTTTCTCATTAAAATTCTCAAACTTCCATTGTTTATTACAGAAAGGTTGGGATTATGTGACTTATAGAAACCAGTTTGCTCTAGTGATTAGGGTACCAGACTAGAAATCTGGAGACCAGGAGTTCTAATCCTGCCTTAGCTGTGAAAACTCTCTGGCCTTGGACCAATCATTCTCTCTTAGCCCAACCAACTTCACAGGATTGTTGCTGTGGGGAAAATAGGAAAAGGAAGGATAGTTTTGTGTGTTCATTGCCTTGAGTGATTTATAAAAATAATAAAGACAGGATATAAACAAATAAAATTAAGATCATTTGTACTTTGCCTGTTCTGGCTGATTCTAATACTGAGATCATCGGGAAATCCAGGGGTAAGCCAAATTGGACAGTTGAAAAAATATAATGAAATAAACCAATGGCAATCTACAGATAGTCCTCAGGTTACAACAGCAGTTGGGACCAGAAACTATGTTGTTAAGCAAAGAGGTCATAAATTACAGCATTGTGTGACTGTGCCATTTAGATATGGTTATTAAACAAGGACCACTTGGATCATTAAACAAAGAACTCAAATGATCATGACTTCTGACTTCCTACCAGCTTCCCCATTGCTTGTGGGAACCTTGCAGGAAACATCAGAAATCTCAAGCAGATGACTGCAGTGACACTACGATATCCAGAACTCTGAGGAGCCATCATAAGTCCCCCTTGTTCAGCACTGAACAAATAAATCTGAATCGTCTCTGAACAATTGGTCATGATCTGAGGATTACCTCTACCTCTGTGTTGCTTGCCAGAAAATTATACCCCCTGAATGTGTCTGAAGATTCTGTGTAACTGAAAGGAGGGTACATTGATACTGGAATAAGCTCTAAGGTAATTTGGTCATAGCCTGCTCTGTGCATGTTATGTATTTCTCTGCCAAGAAGAGTTACAAAGAATTACAAGTTATTTAAGTCTTGCATAATCCACTGTTATTTTGAAAAGGGGGAAGCCATGTTAGTAGGAATTGATACAGATTGCCTTTCTGATCCAGAGGCATCTCACAGGGCTGCTCAAAATCTTCTTAATACATTTTAATCCTGACAGAGACCTATACAGGAAGCACCATCCTTTATTGCAAATGACGGCTGAGTGGTAATATTGAATAGATTCCTGATTTTAGTCTTCAGGAAACATGTGCCAAATTGTTCCGCTATAGTTGTGTTTTCCTTTATGAGCCATATATGGAGTTTCATGCAATGGAGTCTACTGGCAGATTCAAATGTGAGCTAGATTTAGTCCCAACTAAATCTAACATTCGGTTTTAATAAAGTATAATAAAAATGATTGTGCTCATTACTCTTAGTTTTGCAAATACACTCTAAAGTCCTTTCTTCCCTGCATTTAGTTTATTTATTTTGTCTCTCAGTGACTCTTGTAAATATGCATTAAAATTTAGGAGAGAAAGTGAGGATGTATAATATCCTATCCAAATATAAAGTGAGACTGGATTGGATGAGGTCAACTTTACTAAAACATTAGACACATGGTTCTTGTGATCAAATGTTTACTATTAGCTGCAGTACCATCAACTGGCTCTTTTGCAGGTAGAGTATTGAAATAGATGTGTCTCGTGTCTAAGTCATCCTACTACAGTATACTATTCCAATATGTCTTATTATGGACACTGTTATTTTAATGCTACTTACGCTTCTTGAACTGTATAGGATGGAGTCCAGACTGAATTCCAAGGCACAGTGATGGTGCTGAAGGGGAATTCCTGCTCATCCCAAGCCAGCCTTTTATTATACCATGACTGAAAGATTCATTAAGAGAAAATGTTAGTCTTCATTCTCACATTTCCCATTCCCAGCATTGATGATGTTAAAATTTAAGCCATCCTTTTCCAGCTTGGCCTCCCTGCAGACGTTAGGAAAATGACTTTGTAGCCACTTGTTTATTGGACCCGTGTCCTTCCTGGTTGGTCTCGGCCGCCAAGGAGGTGACACGAGGCTGGCTCCAGGTGTTGATCAACGCTTCGTTGAGGGAGGGGTCTTTCCCGCAACCCTTGAAGGAAGCGGTTGTGAGGCCCCTTCTCAAGAAGCCTACCCTGGACCCGGCTGATTTAAATAATTTAAATCTGCCCAGTCTCCAATCTCCCCTTTTTGGGGAAGGTTGTAGAGAGAGTGGTGGCACTCCAGCTCCGACGGTCTCTGGATGAAGCGGATTACCTAGACCCTTTTCAATCTGGCTTCAGGCCCGGCTTCAGCATAGAAACTGCTTTGGTCGCGCTGATGGATGATCTCTGGCGGGCCCAAGACAGGGGTTATTCCTCTGTCTTGGTGCTACTTGACTTCTCAGCGGCTTTTGATACCATCGATCATGGTATCCTTTTGCGACGACTTGGAGGGGTGGGAGTGGGAGGCACCGTTTTATGGTGGTTCTCCTCCTACCTCTCTGGCCGGTCACAATCGGTACTGGTGGGGGGGCAGAGGTCGACCCCGAGGTCCCTTGAATGCGGGGTGCCGCAGGGGTCGGTCCTCTCCCCCCTCCTATTTAACATTTACATGAAGCCGCTGGGTGAGATCATCAGACAGCACGGGGTGAGGTTTCATCAGTATGCTGATGATACCCAGTTATATATATCTTCCCCGAGCTCTCTCACTGAAGCGGCTGATGTGATGGGCCGTTGCCTCGAAGCCGTGAGGGTCTGGATGGGAGTTAACAGACTCAGGCTCAATCCTGACAAGACCGAGTGGCTTTGGATGTTGCCTCCCAAGGATCATGTTAACTGTCCAGTGTTGACTCTAGCAGGGGAAAATATACCCCCTACAGAGCGGATTTGCAGCTTGGGTATCCTCCTTGATCCACAGCTGAAATTGGAACATCATTTGACGGCTGTGGCTGGGAGGACCTTTGCACAAGTTCGTCTGTTGCACCAGTTGCAACCCTACCTGGACTGGGAGGCTCTCCTTACAGTCACTCATGCCCTTGTCACCTCATGTCTGGACTACTGCAATGCACTCTACATGGGGCTACCCTTGAAAAGTATTCGGAGACTACAGTTGGTCCAGAATGCAGCCGCGCGAGTGATAGTGGGTGCTCCTCGGTACACCCACGTTACACCTATCCTCCGTGAGCTGCACTGGTTGCCTATTGGTCTCCGGGTCCAATTCAAGATGTTGGTTATTACCTTTAAAGCTCTATATGGCTCAGGGCCAGGCTATTTGTGAGACCGCCTACTACCTCATAGTTCCCTTCGTCCGGTTAGATCCCACAGGCTGGGCCTCCTTCAGGTCCCGTCGGCCAAGCAGTACCATTTGGCAGGGTCACAGGGGAGGGCTTTCTCACATCTTGGAACCAGCTCCCCCCGGAGATTAGGACTGCTCCTATCCTGTTGGTTTTCCGCAAGCTGCTTAAGGCCTGGCTTTTCCGGCAGGCCTGGGGTTTATAAAATCTGACCCCTGGATGAATGTTATTGTATTGTTTGTTTTGTTAAGTTATGTTGTGTTTTTATTGTTAGCCGCCCGGAGTCCTGCGGGAATGGGGCGGTCTATAAATTTTTAATAATAATAATAATAATAATAATAATAATAATAATAATAATAATAATAATAATAATAATGTTGAAGTTAGGCCCATGATTAGGATTAAGGTTGAAGGTATGAATGGGGATCAATTTGCATGGGCAGTGAGCACTCCCTTTTTATATTTTATTAGTTAGCAATGGGTGATGGATGAACAGCCATGGACAATCTTTTCATGGGTGTTAGGATGAAGTTAGTGTTAAGAGAAGAAAAAGTTGAGCAGAAGTCTAAACACACAATAGATATTGCCTAAGAATTTTAGGCAAGCTCAGTTGCCATGGTTACTTCTCCCATTTCCCACGGCTAGTGATTTGTGGACTTAACTCTGTAATGAGTTTTTTGCCCATTTTTTCTGACCAAAATACAGCTCCCAGAATATCCCAGGGGAAAATAAATTATTATTGAGCCAATTTGTTTTCAGTATACTCTGAAGAAGGAAAGTCACCAGAATTTTTAATATAGTATTAATCTTGTGAACTCTAAAGCTTCCTCCTTCTGTTATCTATTCAAGATGGACAGTGATTAATATGTATATGTTACATATGTAAAGGTGTAGGTCTACACATATGTTGTATATAGTATGTTTAAATGTGTGTTATGTATGAGTACACCTTGACAGCAAGCAACTAAATTTCATTTTTAATGTGTGCCATTGTGCCCAGAGTAACAAATGACAATAAAGGTTATCTACACAAGCTGTTTGAAAATGAGATTTTTAAGAAAGTTGATTATCTGATGGTTAGATAGGAATGAATTCACCTAGAAATGGATGCTGGAAAAAAAATGCATGGAGTGCACCAAAAATAAATAAATAAATAATTTAAAAACCCATTTAATTCACATTTTCCAGGCTACACTGTCCAGACTACGTAAATCAGAATGTAGTTACTTTTCAAACTATGCATTTTTCTGAATAATGTGATGTAATTTGGGGTTTAAAACTGTACACTGCAGGAAAATGTGCTCTTGGTACTTATTATTAGATACATATAAAATTTATCCCAAATGGTTTGTACATCTTCATTTATTCTTTTCTTTTTATCTTACATTCCATCGCAATTAGTGATTTGCACATTTATCACGATGCAAGAAAAAAGAAGTAGGATTAGAATGTTCTTATCTTTTGTTTAAAGCACACTTGTAGAACATTTTCAAGTTCACAGTTGCCTGTGGCTTATGGGCACTGTGCCAAGGACTGGACACAAAAAATGACTATTTCCAAAATAAAGAAGTGGGTGGAGGCAGGACAAAAATCAGTTTCACTTTGCATCCACTCCTCATTTAGAAACTATCTTGATTAGCAACCATTTGCAAATGCAGCAATAATGAAAAATAGATTTTGCAACCAATGTGTGCACTTATGATCCAATTTTGTGTGTTTGACAACAATGCATGCTGTAGTGAAAGCAACACTGGCATAATTGTACTAGAAAACTGTATCTGAATGAGACAGCAGCAACCAGGGATCTTCACAGGGACTCTCTCCCCTCTCAGTCATGAGTTCACTTAGTGACCATTTCACTTAATGAACTAATTGTGAGGATGGAACAGTTGCTAAATGAGGAGTGGGTGTAATCTAAATGAAATTGACATGAATATAGTTTATCATGCATGGTGTAATTTTCCCTTTCTGTCATATTAAAATTGACAATTTGACAGCAACATTTTATGGTTTTTAAACAAATTTTGGATTTTCATGCTGCACATTCTGCTTTAGACCTTCCTTGTATTACCGTATATTCCGGCGTATAAGACGACTTTTGAGAGCGATGAAACAGCCTCCGAACTCGGGGGTCGTCTTATACGCCGAGTCATAACATTTATTTATTTATTTATTATTTCCGGCGTATAAGATGACGTTCTAGGCATGCGACTCGGTGTCGATCATCTTATACGCCGGAAATGACGTCATTTCCGGCGTATAAGATGATCGACACCGAGTCGCATGCCTAGAAAGTCATCTTATACGCCGGAAATGACGTCATTTCCGGCGTATAAGATGATTGACGCCGAGTCGCATGCCTAGAAAGTCGTCTTATATGCGACTCGGCGTCGATCGTCTTGCGACCTGGCGTCGAACTCGGGAGTCATCTTATACGCCGGGTCGCCTAATACGCCGGCATATACGGTACTACTATTACTATTACTATGACGACGACGATGATGATGATGCCTTGATTACAAAAAAATAAGCATTACCTGATTCAGAACCAGAACAGATGTGATGGTGTATTTCAAGATATCCTATTGGAATAATAATTCATGGTCATTTTACTTCCATTTGTTTATACAGACACATTGCATTTTCTTTTTGAAAATCCATAATAAAATGCAAAATGGAATTGAACAGAATGGAACAGAATGGAATGGAATAATTTTCAAAGACTAAGGTTCCAAAAAAGAAAAAAAAAGCTATTTTTTTTTAAAAAATATTGTCTAAGGTACTGGGTTGTTCAGATATGATTTTTATTTTGTCAGCAGAAGGTCTTCTTTATTGACAATGTGTGTGAGCCAGAGTTCATCCCCTATGTAGCTGCTACCTTCCCTTAGCACCTGCTCAAAGCAAGAAAAGCAATTTTCCTTTGAAATCAATGCAATTACTGGCATTATTAGGTTTTGGGGAACCTCAGCTGCACTTCTGCAGCTAATACATGTGTTCAAGTTGTTCATTTAAATTTCTTCCAAACATATTCCTTGCCACCAATTCTTACAGGTCATCTCTCACTATGAAAGCAATGTTTCAAAATGTAAGAAATGCAGGAAGGGAAATGGCATTAACTTATCTCTTTGTAGAGTGGGATGAAGGGCTTATTGTGACTTCATAGCTGAGGGAGCAGAGAAACTCCAGGGAACTGGGTACAAAGTGCAAACTCAATACCTACCAGCCAGCTTGAAGGCAGTAAAGCCTTCCATTGATGATTTATTTATGCTCTTTGCAAGTTACAATATTGACATCACCAAGTTAATTGGGCTAAGAATCTCAGTAGAGATCAATAAAAGTGTTATATGGATGAGATTTAGGAAATCAGTGAACTGGTAGTCTCTCATAATGGTTTAGCTGTCAGAGAGAGAGAGAGAGAGTGAGAATGAGAGATACAGACACACACAGGGACACACACACACACACACACACAGATATACAGAGAGAGGAGGGGAGGGAGGAAGGGAGAGGGAGAGACGCAAACAAAACACTCTTTAATTCCCCATTTAAACCCATAGTAATCTTGCCCCTATTTCTTTTGGAGCAGAGTCCTTAGTTAATGACAATTTACAAACATTTACGGTAAATTTTACGATACATACCACATTTAGCACATTGGACATCATCACTGTGATATTCACTAGAAGGGGGCCATTTCCATTTCTGTGGGTCTGATATACAGCATTTGTACCAAATAGTGATTTAAATAATTTTTCTTCCAAAGAGGCAGAGGAATCTTGCCAGGTTATCTGAACTGAGGCTGCTAGAAGCAAAACACAAATTGTCCATTTTAGATCAAAGGTCCACACAGTATACTGCAATTCAAACCAACACCAACAGTCGTGTTGAAACTGAGAAAGACTTTCATCTTTAGTTCTCATTAAATCCCATGTCTAAACCAAGTATGGTGGAAGATGATGGTTACCTTAGTACCTAAATAAAATTCAAGAGTCAGTTTGGTCTAGTGGTTAATGCATCAGGCTAGAAACCAAGATACTGTGAATTCTATTCCTACCTCAGGTATGACAATCATCTAGATCAGGGGTCCTCAATCCCCAGGCTATGGACCAGTCCTGGTCCAGGGCCTTTTAGGAATCAGGCCGCACAGCTGGAAATGAACAGGGGGCAAGTGAGCAAAACTGAAATCATCCCCCCCCCCCCGTCAATGGAAAAATGGTCTTCTATGAAACTGATCCCTGGTGCCAAAAGGTTGAAGACTGCTGATCTAGGTAACTTTGGGCCACTCTCTCTCAGCCCAACCTACCACACAGTATTGTTGCTGTGGGGAAAACAGCGAGGAGGGAGGAGAATTAAGTATGACTGCCACCTTGAGTTAATTATAAAATTAAAAAGGCAGTAATACAAACATTCTGGTCAACTGCTACGAAGGAGGGTAAGGCATGTGAGTTCTTTCTCTCTACCTTGATTATTAGAATCATCTGTGACATCAAATGAACTATGTTTAGGATCGAGCAGTAGAGGTTTCATTCTCATCAGAGATATTTTTTTTCCCCCTTGACCTCATTAATTCTTCATCAAGAGAAAGAATAAATGCTGATTCCAGTTGTTCAAACCATAGGTAATTGTATGCACAACTTTGAGGTTTCTGTAGAATCTCCTCCACATTTCCTTTTGCTTGCATGTAAGGATAGCTATTCTCTAGGCCCAAATGAGATCATTTTATTCAGTGCTTTTTTTCTTTTTTAAAAAAAGTGCCGGAACTCACACAGGTCATACAACCCGCCTTGCCTACCCTACAAGGTTCCATCCAAAAAAGATGCCAGTTCTGGGCGTTCTATGAGAAAAAAAGCCCTGATTTTATTGTCCATTCCAGGCTTAAATTTTGCACATGCCTATAAGTTATATAAATGGACAAGAAATCAAACACCTATTAATCTGAACATATTCTCAAAATAAGGAAAGATATAGCCTACCTAGCAACAGGAAAAGATAGGTCATGTTGATTCTTGCTCCCTTCATTTCTTTTTACCAGGAGAACAGGCTTTAATGTAATTCCAGATCTTGATGTAAAAATGTTACTGATTTCATTCAGGATTATGAGAATTGTATTCGAGTACACCTTGAAAGCACCAGGTTAGGAATGGATGTTGTAAAATTAGTATGAATTCACAGATCTTTCAGGAAATTTGGGTTATCCTTCTGTATGGCATTCCTAGCATGTAAAGGCATGCTATATATAATAAACATAATAATATGATTAAAATATCCATATTATACCCGTTTATGCAATTGGCCTAAGATAATCTTGCAAATTGATTTTTACTGATGGTAGAAAATAAGTATATTGCTAAATGTACTAGTAATATGGAGATTCACAGATTAGTGTTACAATTTATTCTGTTCTTTTTGGTAAGGCGGTGATAATCTAATAATTGCCTTTCTACTAAAAAAATTTCATTTCATACTACATGACCAGTTTTAAATCTTAAATTAGTAATACAAAACAGTATCTGAAGAAGAATGAAATACTTAAAAAGTATCCAGTAAATCATCAGGAATGCTTATAACAAAAAATAATTTAGCAGTCAAATAAAGCACCTAATAATTAGTTAGAAACGTCTGTGAAAAGAATTTAAAAAAAGAAAAGAAAACATGAATAAAACATAGATGTTGTATCAATACATTGGAAAACACAGCAAACAACCATAGAATTTTCTCTTCTACTTTCTCTATAAAATAAAACTTGAGATATAAACAATCTCATAAGAATATAATGTAATCAAATGCTTAATCTGTTCCAAGCCTTTCTACCCATGGCAAAAGGCACTTCCTAAGTGTGTGGAAAACATTTCAAATTTGAACCATTTTACATAAAAAATACACAGGTATTTTTTAAAATTTATTTTCACATTGCAAAGTACTTTCCCCACACCACCCTCTAGATACGTATTTGTTATTTATATTTGTTTTTTTAGTTATTAACTTCTCATGGACCATCCTTGGGCCCAGTACAACCTTCTGTCATTTGGACAGGCTATCAATCAATCAGAATAGAGCTTGAAGGGATCTTGGAGGTCTTCTAGTCCAACCCCCTGCTCAAGCGGAAGACTCTATACCATTCCAGATAGGTGGCTGTCCAGTCTTTTCTTAAAATCTTCCAGTGATTAAGCACCCACAACTTCTGAAGGCAAGCTGTTCCATTGGTTAATTGTTCTCACTGTTAGGAAGTTTCTCCTTAATTTCAGGCCCCTGCACAGCCTTTATGCTCACTTTTTGTAACTTTTTGTTGCCTTGTTATATAGACAGCAAAAGCTGTTGCATTCTGTACATGTGGAATTTCACAGTAGGAGCCACCAAGGATAACTTGGAATCAATATTGACTGACCATCCATACCTGGAAAAGATGCCACTATTCAGTGTGGAGAGATGGGCAGCTAACAGCTGAATGAAGAGACATCGAGAAAATTATCTATATAGGCTGGTAGGAGTGCCCTTTCAAGGGTGTATTCCAAATCTGTCCAATACCCTGGTTGTTTTTTTATACCAACAGCTGCCACATTGATTATTTATTATGAAAAAGACAATGGATGAATCCATGTTTGTTTATTGCAACACGCCCCTCATGATTTGAATTCTCAGCAACACTAACCAAATAAGCCTCATGTTATTGTTTTTTAAATGATGTCCTGTATTTCATTCTCTGTTATTGCTCATATATATATATATAGGCTACATAAGGAATTATTTAATTAAAATAACTTGTTTAGTCAAAGCAAAAGGATTCTAGTGAGAAGTAACTGAACCATCAAAATACTTAATCAGTTTGTTTCTTTTTTTTAACGTACAATATGTGTAACCGTTTTTCAAAAAGTCAAAGTAATTCAAAATCAAACAAATCTAACACTCATAAATATTAATAATAGCAACAAAAACAACAGCAGCATTATAACACAGGATGAAGACCCAGAACCAGCAAATTATTTCTAAGAAAATAATTTCCATTTAGGAAAGCTGTTGACACTTGTTATTCTGATTAATCACAGGATTGTTCTTTTAAATAGAAGACTACTATGTTTACATTTACTGTGCTAAGCTATATTTGTATCTCCAAAAAGTTCAAGGCAGTAAATATAATTCTCACCCACCCATTTTCATAACAACCCTTAGATTTTGCATAATCTGAGATTAACGGTCCTAAAATCACCAAAGGAATAATATGGATGAAGGCAGAACTGAACTTAATATTTCCCTATTCTGGTCTGATATTCTAAAAACTATCATATATTTGTTAAGTACTTCGTTCGCGTGCGAATGATGAAAACACATGGCGATGTTAAACAGCTCTTTATTCTTCTTCTAACAATAACCGAACGAACAGGCAAAGGCACACAGGCTTTTTTATGTGGCCAGAGACCCAGACAATGTCAAAACAAAGTAACAGAGCGTTTCCACGCCTTGCGCATGCACACAAGGCTGGCGCCGCTCTGTCTGGTCCCAGGCAGCTTTTGGAATGCCCGGGACCAATGCAACATCCCGAGCCTGCTTTTGCAGGCTCAGGACACAACACTATTGGCTTTGCACATAGTCCAGATCATCTCAGCCTTGACTGGTGATGTCCAAACTCGAGCACAGGGAATGTGTCCTGCAAAGAGCTTAGTACAAGCCAAGCACTAACAAGTGAGTAGCGCTCATGATATTGAATATAACTCAAATATGTGGTACTGTGTCTCATATCACTGGGAAATAATTGGCAGGATATTCTGCTGCTTTCTTTGTCGCACGAGGCCAATGATACTATGCAGTCTAAATGGAATAAATTTCACTGCAAGCTGGCCTACTGTTATTTAGGTCTGGACACTTAAAAGAAAGAATGCTTCCAAATAACCTATGATGCTATTACATTTCTCACTGTTCAAGATTTCATCAGATGCCTTTCTAATTATTTAGGAGAGACACAAAGCAGAGTTCCTGTATTTGTATGAAATCATCACCTGCAAGCAGGAAAACATCTAAATCACGGGTGTCAAACTTGCCATGTCACGTGACATGTCGCGACGTATCGTGACTTTTTTTTTTTTGCATTGTGGGCATGGCCTCCATATGATGCAACTGGCCCGAGGGCTGGCAGTTTGATACCCCTGATCTAAATAGTTTGCCTTCTCCAAAGAAGTCCTGTCTGGCTTTCTCCGTGATAATACTATCAATTGATATGTCTGTTTGTGGCCTGTTTTTTTTATTAACAACATGAAAAAAGTTTACAGTAGTTTACTTGGGTTGCTATATTATATTTTGGGAAATACGGTGGCATACTTGCTAGTTGGGCAAATTTTCATGGTAAAGTCATATATGGACATTTAAATTAGAAATAATTTCATAATTGCCTGCATTTCAGCTTGGGAAGGATGTAAAGCAAATGTCTTTAATATTTAGGGGTGCAATCCTTGAAAACCCAGCCTAAATAATATTTCACTGCATAATTAGTGCTAGAATTATAGTCATTCTCTGTGAGACTTCTATTTCTCCTGCGGTCATTACTACTTAGAGCTAATTTAGTTCTCTGCATCCATCATGAACAAATGGAATTAAGATCAAAGGTGGAAGCAGGAGTTCATCAATTTGCAGGACTGGCAATTATATTTATGTTCCCAAACACTATGTTGATCTTCCTGAATGCAATCTCTTTGTATGCTTGATAGCAACCTTTCTTTATGGAATATGAAATAGAATGCATTGATGAAGTGAATAATTGTTTCATTGCAAGGATGGGTATTCTACAAATATAGGTATATAAAGAAACTATAAGACTTATTTTCTTTTTGTCAAAACTCACCCCCCCCCTGTCTGTTTCTCAGTCCTTTTACAAATACTTTTGCTAAAATTGATTAGCTGGACTAACAGGAGAACAATCTGTGCAGGAAGAGCAGAAAGTTCCTTGGATAGCTCATTTTCTGATTAATCAAGATCTAAACTTTATAGAAAAGGACTCCCTTGATGGGGCAAAATATAAGGAGATACAGCTCACCATGTTAAGGGCAATACAATTGTTGAAGAACCGTCCGTAAATCATTCTGATGTTGTTATCCACAGTGAGGGCTTGGCATTGATTGGAAACACTCGTCAGGAAATGACCTGGGATGGACATTTACTTAGAAGCCATGTGCAGTGCAATTTCCCTTATTTTATCATCATGTGTCTGCCATAGAGAAGGGAGGCTTTTAATCTAAACAACCAAATTATTGAGAATCTTTCTTTCTTCCAAAAATAATTTTTTTTTCTCTTGAATATACATTTAATTATAGGTCTTTGTGATTTGAAATTTAATGGAGGTTAGGATTTGATAAGACTCAAAACAGTCAACATATATCCATTAAAAGTCATTAGTTTTTAAACATTAATCACATTGTGTTAATTTCCTTTCCCCCTCTATTACCTTAGTTATTCTTAGCCCAATTTTGAATAATGTTATTACCACCACACACACACACACAAAGCAAAAAATAAAAAATACAGATGTCTTGGCAGCAACA